TAGCTTTATTATTCTATGATTTGCAATCAGTTGATTCAGTTGTTGCTTGTGCTTGTTTACTGATGAGGAATATGACGTCACAAACCGATACAAAATCGATGTATCGAATCTTTTTATAAACAATACAGATAACCTCAAAATTTCCATTCCTGAAACTCCTGAAACTTGTCTCTGCCTGAAACGCGAATACAGATTTCCGATGTTTTCTCTGATTATAGTATAACTTAGTGTGCTGTGAATTTGTTATGTGCTTTGAAAAATGAACGGAAAAATTTATCTTCTATTATTTCATTTGCAGTAATTGCCAATAATCACGGCCGTGCAATAATTCATAAAATATAAACATTGGAGCCGGCTTCATGCATGGTCTTGGTTTAGTCATTTTCGCTTTGCCCATCATCTAAAACAAATAATTCACAAGAAATAACTACCTGAAATTTTACTACTAGTCAATCGACCCCGCCACTATGGATTGGATGTACAAAGATTCCACCAAAGGGGTGAATCATGAAGAATATCTGCTAGGAAAAGCTGTTGATAAAAATTTTGAACTAACACAACGGGATTCATCTAAGAGAAGAGGTAACTAGCCACTAGGATTGCTGTTGCAAATATATTGAATCTAATCTTAAGTTAGTAAGTTGTAATCTGCGTCTGTGTTACCGTTTTGCGTAATTGGAGGGTCACGGTGTAGTGGCTGCGTCATGCGCAATGCTGCGTAATTTGTGTGTAATTGAATTTTTTTGAACATTTCTATGTTTAGCCACGTTTTCAAGGTTAGATACATCTTGCCGATCTTGATAAGTGGTTGTAAAGAAGATAGTTTTTTACCCAAAAGCAATGTTGCAAACTTTGCTTGTAGATCCCTACCTTACATAGGAGACAAAAATATTTCAGAATTCTAAAATAAGCAAAGAATTGGGCACAATTTGACTTTAACTGTGGTATAGCTGTGTAATTTGAAAGTTTTCTGCATAATTGCTGTGTATTTCAACAGTTTTTCCTGCGTAATAGTGTGCATAACTGAGTAATTTCACTGCGTAATGTTGCGTAACTTTCCATCAGGCTGCGTACATAAAACAGTAACACTGCTGTGTCAAACACTTGCCAAAGAATTGCCCAGGAACTAGTTTCATATCGAATTATGAGATGCAACTGTCCATCTTAACTCAAGATTAGACTACAATTGAAGGGTCCTATTGGTAGGCATAAATTACAGAGATAAAATCCCGAAGAACATACATGATTTGCTATCTTTTATTGATGAAAATCCAACCTTAGTTGCAATTTGCAGTTAAGGTGATTCGTCAAGCTCTTTGACGCGGTCGAACTGACATGCGATATATCGCATCGATTAGGTCGAAAATCTCAACATATTTCGAATTTTTAGCCTGAAAGAGGACGATAGCCTCTACTCATGAGCCTTAAGTATCTTTCTAAACCATAAAATTAGAAAAATGTAGGGAAATAGAAGCAGACTCCTGTTTGGGAAAAAACCTCGCATTCAAAACAGAAATCAATCTCTGTATTGAATGCAAGGTTTTTTTCCAAACAGAATTCTGCTTTCATTTCCTTACATTTTCCAGTTTGTTGGTTCAGAGATATTCTATGGGCTCATGCGCAGCGGCTAATTTCCTTTCTTTGGTTAAATATGCAAAATCTTCCAAGATTTTTGACCTAATCAATGCAATATATCACATGCCAGTTCTATCATGTCAGAAAGCTTGACAAATCACCTCAAGATAATCATAACAGGGAGAGAAAGGCGCCAATAATTAATTATAAAATGATTTTCATATGTGTTGATCGCTCTGCTTATCAAGTTAACAAAGTTTCCTGATACTTCAAGTGTCAAATTCAATCTCTTGAAATAAAAATGGTGGGATGGTTGCGTAAGCTAATTTTTTTGTCATATTAATTTGATTTGCATCTGAGGATTTGGGAAAATTGATACAAAATAATAGAATTACTAGAGCGATAACTATAGAGTAGAAATATTTTGTCAATTAGGTAGGCCAGACTTATATATTGTGGCTAGAGTTAAATCTTGCTTGGAACAATTCCTATCTAAGCTGCTATGTGTGTCATGAACCTGTTATATGCTGCTGATTCAGAACGAATCAAAGAGTTCGTAACTCTCATATGATCTAAAAGTGTCGTGCACCTTTTTTGTGAAAAATTCTGTCATTTCTTGCAATAGAAGTGTCAGATTATCATTCAAATTGAAATATAACAAGTTTAATATGGATTTGTACAGGTATCAGGAAACTCATTCCACCTAGTAAAGGAGCTATTCTGATTACTTAAAAACCTCACAACTCCCAACAAACTATCTTAGCTACTATTATCTTTTTTACACCGATTTAAGAATAGAATTTTATGTGGTTGGAAGTTGAAAGAATATTACTTTAAGTCACTTCATAATCAGCATCATGGTTTATTTCAGAGTCTGAACCAGGTAATGCACAAATTGATCTTGCCAGAAAAGTACACGAGGATCCTCTATTTGCAATCAAGAAAAAAGAAATGGACATGAGAGAACAGTTGCTGAAGAACCCTGTAAAATTGAAGAGATTGCAAGAAAAGGTATTGCTGAGTTTTTTTTTTTTTTTCTTTCATTTTATTATCAGCTGAGTCGATTCTGTTTAACTCCTTATTTCAGGTAAGTATCAAAGGAGGAAAAGATCTTTTGCTAAAATTGTCGCTAGTTTTTTCCTCAAACGTTTTGAAAATTATGTGTTGAAAGAATCAACTTGAACCTAATGCATCCAGTGAAAAACCAAAAATAAGAAATATTAAGGAGAACAAGCACAACTTCTAAAATGAATTCAATCTGCAAGTTTAATAAAAAAACCTGTTGTGTGAACAGCTTGCTCAATTTTTGTAAAACTGTTACTACGTCTCTGAGAGTAAAAGCATAAGACTTCAGGAGCCAAGCCAGATTAATTATAGTCAATTCAGACCAAAATCCATTGTTACTTAGTCATTTCCTTGATTGGTAGTAAATAATGTTGGACCCCTTGCCCCAATGCCCCCTCATAAAAAATCTCCTCCTGGAAAATATGGTTTTCCCTCCCAAAAGGAGGATACTTTTTCGTTCCCTTTGTTTTTTTCCCCCCATTTTTTCTTAAATATCTCACTGTAGAAACCGTCATGTAGATTGTTTCTATATACTGACTCGTATCTTTGATAAAAATTGTTTCTTTTTCCAATAAAGCAGTAGTTTCTTTGCTTTTTTTACAGATTAAAATGAAAGGAACTTCAAGCCCAGAAAGAAAGAAAGAAAAGAAAAAGCTGAAAGAAAGTGACTACGAAGCAATGGATGGAGAATTTTTGGATAAGTTATTAATTTCTAAGTATGCCAAGTTAAAGAAAGAGTGTAATTTAAGCTTATTTGATCTAATCAAAAATATGAGTTCTTCAGAAAGTGAATCGGAAGGAAAATCGAGTAAAAAAAAATCAAAGAAAAAAGACAAGTCTTCCAAGAAAGATCGGATGAGTACTCAGGACCGCAAAAAAATTGATAGTAAAACTGAGAAAGCTCACGCAAAGGACAGCACTGATTCTCATTCTAAATATAATAAGGACACAAATCGTGATAGGAGAAATTATGAAGTTGAAAGAAAGCATTCAGGCAAAAAATCTCATCATGATCAGAGAGACGGCTCTTATGACAGAAAGACTAATTCCTCTAAAAGTAATTACGAAAAAGTCAGGGAAAGTGACAAAAAAAGTAAAAGGTCTGACTACAAAACAGGAAGTGAGTATTATGAGTCAAAACGTCAAAGGAGTCATGACTCTGAGGAAGAAACGAAAAAGAACAAGAAAAGGAAAGGAGACTCGCACAGAAAACGATCACCTGATGATGACCGCAGGATTTCGCCTAGAAACTATCATTCCTCTCACAAAGAATCTAGTAAATATCAAGATGCTGACACATATCATTCCAGGAGAAAGTATGAAAATGATAGGAAAAAAGACTACCACAAGGAGAAAGAAAAACGCTCTAGGGAGACCCCAGAATATGAAGTTAAAAACGTGGACCCTAAAAAGAAAGATAAAAAGCGTGAAAAAGAAGAGATGAAAGAGTCAAAGAGGCATAGTGATAATAGTCATCTTTCATCTAAAGCAAATAGATCAAGGCAGAGATCAATGAGTAATAGCGATGATTCATACCATGACGCAAGACCAGACAGGAAAGGCACTGGCTCCAAGAAGAAAAGTAAGGCAGACAGTTCCTCGGATGAATCTAGCCCCAGGTTGAAGAAAGGAAAGAAAGAAGAAGGTAAAAATAAACACTCCACCAAGGAATCAAATTCTAGTAAAAAAAAACTGAAACGTAAAGATGACAGTGACGAAACCTCTGATGATTCCTCATCAAAGAAAAAAAGGTCAAAGCGTCAGAAAAAAAGGAGTGCTCATGATTCTAGCTCCGAGTCTGGCTCAGAAACCAGCTCCAGCAGTAATTCTGAAAGCACGTCCGAATTAGATTCTGATTCGTCAACAGATTCCAGCTCAGATTCAGAAGGATCGGCAGAAAACACAAACTCTGCAACTATTCTTGAAGATGTATTGAAATTAAATGAGAAACTGAAAAAATACGGTTTACAGGTAAATATGGTGCTACCTCTGCTAAACAGTTATTAGACTTCTAAATTATTGGCTACTTATTTAATTCTCATCAGCGTTTTACAGTTGTAATGGTTCTCTATCGACCCTTAAGGTGCCAGTGACTCATAAACTATGATTGAAAGTTCTTGTAAAAAACTGAATGATTTACCTAAGAAAGTTTAAATGGAAAGATAAAGCAACAGTACCTTTCATAGTGTATTTCACATGATAGGTACAATCTGTTTAGCTTTCTTTTATTCATCATTCAAAGAATCTCAATAATGAGCTCTAATTTCCATACTTTTATAAATCAATACTGCTGTACAGAGGAAAAATGGCAGTTGAACCTCGAGACTTCTTTTCTTTCACAAAGATTCAGTTTGAAAATTTTAAGGTTATCTGTAAATTTCTTCAAACTAAATCATTGGAGGCAGCATTGTAATTCTTATTTCTTATTCTCCTTAAGCGAGGCTGAGTAGGATAGAGCCAGGAGATTGGCTCAGCAAAAATTATTCAATTTCCAAATCACTTATCAAAACTTAAATTCTCTAAAATGACATGTTCTTTAATCTTTCCTCTGATCTGTTCTGTGGCATTGTAGAACTGAGATCATTGAATCATTATTCTCTCTTATCAAAAGAAACATATTTGTTGAAAGTTCTCAACTTTTTCATGGCCAATCTAACATATTGTCAGACTTGGTGAATTCTAAGTCCAAGTAAAGTGATCAAAAGAGGTTATCAAAATCCATCGAAAATTACCTCTTTTTAAGATCCTATTCTTTTCGTTTTCAGTTACCAGCCGGAGCTTCCACCGAACGTAAGTCTTCATCCCACAAATCGTCCATTCAAGTGGACAAGAAAAAAGCAAAACCTGTCGAGAAAGAGAAGCCGAAACGTCCCACCAAATCGGTTTTGTCTGAGGCAGAGAAGGAAAAGAGACTGAAGGAGATGGTTGAAAATGCTGAATGGCGTGACAATGAAAGAAAAACTAACATTGAGAGGTTCAAGCAAGAAGAAAAAAAGGAAAAGGAGTCAAAAAAGAAATATGATGAATCTTTCATGAGGTAATCCTATTATTTGTAATGCATAAGTAAACTAGGGGGAAGTATGTTGCCCTTAAAATTAGGCAATTCAAGGATACTTTTGGTCATTGCTTTTTCAGATACTCCTTCACCTTATTATTTCAAAAAATTTGATCTATTTTGACGCATTACCAATCGACCCCCAACCTTCCTAAAAAAATTTAGATTTTTCGGCCGTACGATGCATATTACATCTGAACAGCAATATAATGTCGCTAGAAATGAAAATAATATTTGTTTATGAAATGAGCAACCAGGTTTAGTAAAATTATAAACTCAGTTTTCTCACTCATTAGATGAATTTGTTCAGCTAAAGTGCCGAAATAGTCACTCATTACTGCTGAATGTTATGTTTCTTTTTATTAGGAGCCTGGGCCAAATTTTGTTGCATGAATTTATAAAAAATATATAGAATATTTTCCATTTCAAATGGTATATAATATACCAAGTATATTTTCTTCTTTTTCAGGAATCAACTGTTACATGCCTCCTCTCAGCAGTCTGTTGCTAGTAGAATCAAATCAAATGTCAACAATATTCAACGGTCAAAATTTGACATGGACAAGAATTTTGCAAAACGCTGAAGATGAATTTGCGGATGCATCTTTCGGTGAAAAGCCCAATCTGGCAAAATAACTATCAAGCTGTGAGTTCAGAGGTTAGTCCTGATTGCTTTTAATTTTTTGGACGTTCCCTGAAATGAAGTCCTCAAGCTTTAACATTAGGCATGAGTTTGCCTATCAAGGATCTGTGATCTCATGTTTGGTTTAATTGTTTTATTTCTGTTGTATGTTGTGTAAAAGCTCGTCATCGCAACAGAATGTTTGCTCAATGTAAAAGGAGTGGTTGCCTTTTGAGTGATATGAAACTTGAACTAAAATGCACCATTATTAGGTCAAGTTGAAATACGAGCATCATTTTGTATATATTTAACTCCAGGGAAACAGTACCTGTTAATGTTAATTTTTACCATTGAATTTTCACTTTTATAATTATCAGATAAGTAGTTTGTATATTAAATTGTCTTATAATTGAATTGTATCATACTCTGTTCCTCTAAAACCAAACAAATGAAGGATCTAGAAGATATCATCTTGAGGATATATTTCTCTTTAATAATTTGAAAACATCGCCTTAATCAGTTGATTATTATTGAAATAGTGTTGAGCTGAAGTACATATACTTTAACTTGTCTAGAAAAGGTATATCAGGAAAATCATTTATGAAGGTCCTAATTGGTCAAGGCGGATAAAGAATGGTGGTCATATTTTGTACCCTCTGGATGTCACACGGTATCGGGTACAGATGGGTCGGCCTAGGTCGGGGGGGAGGGGGGGCGGCGGCGGCTCAACCTCGGATTGCACGGCAAAACCCGTACCCTCCTGACGTCACAACGCCTCAAGATGGCAGCCAAAATCGAAATGCGACCACCATTCTTTATCCGCCTTGCTAATTGGTGGGACTCTCCCGCAAGCACACCTGAAATGTAACCTGAAATCTAAGCATATCCAATGCTTAAAATAGTGGGATGATTGCTAAAACTGTGTCAAGACAAAACCTTATCTGAACTGTTGAGTTGATTAACTTTCGATGTTTTATCAAGGTGACATAAGTTTCAACAATCAACCCGCAGATCTGTCTCTTTCCGAAAATGAGACATTTTAGGAGTGGCAAAGAAGAACTCTACAACTACATGGCCCTTCCAAAAATCTAGTATGTAACTTCCATCGGTTTGAATGGAAATCATACAATTTTGCCATATCTCTGGATACACCTCTGCCGAAAGTCCTAGATGACCAACTGCATTCATTCAGTATCTCTCATGTTAAGAGACTCTGAAAAAGCTTAACTGCCTTCAAATTTACAGGTTATTTCATCAAATAGAAAACATTTTCTGACAAAGGCTTTATTTCAAAACTTGTTTCAATAAATTAAAAATTACTACCAACAAAATTAAATGGCTAATATGCATTTGGACAGCATTGTTATAAAATGGACAGTATGGGCACTGATAGGAGCCACAAACTTCACAGATACTTAATAGGAAAAGAGGCGTTGAATTAAACAGTGCATGCACAAAATGCTCTGAAACAGAAAAACAAAACATTGGTATCAAGTTTGGTTGCGGGAGATTATAGAACAATGCTCTAAAAAATGCCAAAAGGAAATACAAATTAAAGTCAACAAAACAATGCATGATTTCAAATTGTTTTTAGTGATTCAATGTCTTAGTAAGCATACAACAGTCGACATTTATTAAGTTCTTGTCACAGTTTGTAGCATATTTGCAGCCTCCACTAACGGTGACATGATCTCTTGGAGATGGTGACGCTATAGCAGCAAAAAAATTGTCCTATAGGCATGTGTTGTGCTGTTTGCGCATAAAAACAAAGGTGAAGAACTGAAGACTGAGAATATCTCTGAAGTATTTGTCAGGCCACAGTTTCCATGGCAGTTGACGGCAACAGTTAAAATATTACTATGCTTGCATGTTCAATTGAATGGATTGAAAGGTAAAAAAATTTAAAACTCAAAGCTTTCAAGGTGTAATTTTAATGTCATTTGAAAGCCTATCAATTAGAATTGAATTTGATGCTCTCCAGATCATCCCAGCAAAAAATGCTCTTTTCACAAACTTGGTTGTAAATTTCTACTCAGAATCTTTGTAAAAATGAACTAAGTGTGGAAGGAAAATTAGTACCTCTAGCTAATGATTCGTACAAGATTGCCTGTCGAAAAAGTGAAATGTTTGCCACTGGAAACCAGCGAGAGACAGTGTGGTTGAAACAAGTCCACTCAGTTGTTATCTGCAAAGCCAAATGAAAAAACAAGAGATTAAGTATGAAATTGAAAACAAAAGTAAAAACCCCCTGTGTAAAAGAGGACAACTGACTTTGAATGATTTTTGTCTTTGACTAACAATAAGTTCATTATCTTCAACTCAAACAGGAATTAATATACTAAAAATGTAGCTGGAATACTGTACTTGAATTAACTTATTAGAGTTCATTTTTATGATTGTAATGCGTTTTTTACTTTGATTTCCCTAAAGAATAGTGTGGACCCAACACACTTCTACCATCTTGTTACTTTAAATCAAAATTAGGGATCAGGAGATGAACCAAAAGGAGCTAATTTAGCTGTCTTGAGTGTCTACGTAGTGAATACTATGAGTGGTTGTGTCCGGTGATTTATCAGCAAAAATTTATTTATCACGTGTTTATAAGTTTTGGACCAAATTACTGTGCGAATGCGTTTAAAAATAAATGGGATTTTAACAATGAGTTTTAAGTGATGAAACATGAGAGAATGATGAAGTAATGTATACATAATGTTGTTAAGTTAATTCTGGTAGAAACTCTTAATTTAAACAATAAAAAATGAGGTCTTACATGATCGAAAAACCATACGGTTTTGCCTTCTACTGACAGAGCATTTCGTAGAGTGGGGTGAATACCAGACTCAGCAATTTTCACAGCCTCCGATTCCACCAAAAAATAACCTGTTGGAATTTCTATCTCTAAAACAGCAGTCCCGCTGACTTTTGGGAAATCTCTGGTGTACCTACAAAAAACAGAATTTTATTAGAAGTGACAGTAACTAAAGATAATCTTTAACACATTACAAGATTTTAAAATGTGTGCTTTGAAGGAAATAAAACAAAACCAATAAAGGAAAATAAGATAAATGTATCTGTCAATAGAATAGCGCTTCGGCATGTTTTTCCACACTCGACCGTCAATGATCTGGCCGGATTGTCTAAAGCAAATCACACCTGTTCATTTTCTCCTATTGAACCATCAATCCAATGTATGGACGGTGAAACTGCAAAAATGGTTGCAGTGTTACAAAATCTCTGCTCCTACTCTATTTTTTAAAAAGAGACCACTCCAACATCATGGCTTAAAATTTTCACTGAATATTCTTCAAATAGAAAAAAAAAATCATTCTAGTTCCCAGAAATTACGTCTAGAAGTTTTTTGAGTAGAAAATAAAGTATGAAAGGAAGTCTGCTTCGCTCTAACCAAAATACCCATTTCTGCAGTTTCATCATGGATATATTTTCTGCCAGGCTAGGGAAGTCAGTCTAGGATCTTTCTAGGTAACTCATTATCCAGCATTTCACTATCTTATTATTCATCCTATTATCATACAGAACTATCCCAGACAAGCTATTTAAGGAAGATGTCATGCACTATATTTCCTTTCAACACTCATAATTTCATGTTCTCTTTAGTTTTGACCGTGATCTTTCCTCGAAATCCCCATTAGAGTCCCATATCGGCCTGTAAGAATAATAAGATAATAAAAAAGTAAAATAAAGATAATGTGATCTAGAATAGCTTACCTAAAACAACTTTGAATGGTGATGAGTGTTTTGTTTCGTTCACTTGAGTAGTATTCAGTAACGTTCAGCTGAAATATCTTTTGAGAGGGAGTATCCTTTAGCGGGTCATAATCTACGTTATATGATACATCCATTTGAGCCAACACCAGTCCTGACCCTCTTGCTTCTATATTCACATGACCCCATACGCTGTTGATCTAAAAACATTACGTCCGTTAAAAAAACTTATCTGTGTGGATTGAACCCCTGATTTCATAATTGGTTGGTATAATCCACCATTCAAAGAAAACTTTGTTTAATATTAGTATGATGATTCCTATAATCATGGCCAATGTTTATATGACCCTTTCAGTGCGGGTTGATTGCATATTTTGCAAGCTGAATGGAGAGATCCACATTGAAGACTGTTGCATGAGGGCAGTTGTACCGTGCATATTCAACTGGAAATGGGTTCAATACCATCTGGATTAAGAGGCGTACTTCATTGTAAGATTCGAAACGAAAATGATCTATAAATGCTATAACTTGATTTCAATGCAAATTGAAATGAATTCGGCTCTTTAGAACGGAATGCGCACCTTTAAAATCAAATCCAACAAAATTGATGAGGTATTGAACAGAATCAAGAGATTATGTCAATAGTTTTTTTTTTTTTTTCCGATGCAAGCTGAATCTGTATTCTGTAACTTTCATTGGCAGTTGGGAATTTAAGCACTTGTATGAACAAAGCTATTGATTTTTTTAAATTAATTTCCAATCCCAATAGAGCGGCAAAACCTTTTAAAATCAGAAGTCATCTGTCAATTTTTTTTGGCCAAGGTGTTAGAGCTATGAACAAAAATAACTTCTGATTACTTTATAAGATAACTTTTTTCTCTTTGAAAAATTATCATTGGTAATCAATATGTGAAGAAAAATGTTACTCACGGGTATAGAATTGTATTTGTTCGTAGACGAATTTCCCAAGTGAAAGCGGTGTTTCTTCTCATTTGATGTCGGCACTGTTACTAAAATATTCACATTTGTCAATTCCAGTATTCTTGAACGAAAAGCATACTCAGTTAATGCTTGGAGTGCAATCACTGTGTCCTGCAAAGAATTAAAAAACAATATGCATAATTGAATATTTGTAGACTTATTTCTACATTGCAGAAGAACAAAAGTTTTATTCCCACTTAATAAATATGTTGGTGTTAAAATGAAAAGCATTATTTCATGGCAGAATTAGATGACATGGATTCACCCATCCTCCACTCTATAGGAGGTATAAGACAGAGAATTAAAAATTATTGGTCATTTTTAACAAAGGACTACGAACATAATTTTAGAAAAAACAATGGCAAAATTTATATTTTATTTGATATTATGATCTATACGGCCTCCTCAGCAAAATGAGCTTTTAAAATCGAACTTGATATGTGACCATTTTAAGAAAAGTGGTGCTAGAAAGTAAATTTTTCCGTATTTTTATTTGCAAAATCCAGTTTAAATATTGCATTATCTGATTAGTGATTGGTCATCCAAAAGAGCTTTTATTCCCTCACTGGTCTGATAAGATAAGATAGGATAAGATAGATGGAAAGGATTTAATTCTTCCAAAACATAACCGTGTGCGGCAAAATTTTCACACGGACATAAGTATCAATCTATGGATCCACATCTCAATCAGAAAACGGGTGTAGCAAGGCTGAAAAACTCAGTTTTCAGTTCTACTTTTCTTCACCTTGACTCTTAAAAAATTAGATTATAAAAGCTTGTCATCCTCACAAGGCCTTAAAGAATATCAAGTTAAATATTACCAGAATTTAGCCACCGCCGAATTTCTTCGGTGTTTGTACAAGGTCCTTATTTTTTTACTTATAAAAGCATTGCCTCCTTCCTCTTTTGAATTTAATAACTCCAAATTCGAATTAAAATTGGACTTACAAAAGTAGAAACAAAACCAGAGGATGTCATTCGAACAGAATTCAACCACTGAACAATTCTCTCTACTTTATCAGTGATGCCATCTCGCAGCAGAAACACAAGTAAAGCCCAAGATGTAGCTTCAACTGCCAGAGAATCGTGCTCATGATACCTTTTTGGCCCCATGAATGGTCTTTGATTTTCTAGTTTGATTGGGTTGCCAGGTATTTCATCCCTTGACCAGTATTCCAATCCATCTGAACAGAAAACGCAAAGCATTACAAAATTGGTCACAAAAAATGAAATTAGGTAATAGAGAATTAAAGTACAGATTTTAAACCTTACAGATAAGGGGGGCTCCCCTCAATCAAAAATGGTTGGACAAGTTCCTATGTTCAAAAATGCTGAAAAATCACAAATAGTACAAGTTGACTATGTACTTGTATTAGTTCTATCAGTGGACACTGCATATATGTCAGCTTGGTGAAATCATATTTCTTAATTCTAAATGCATGATTTTACTTCATAATATCCCTTAAAGCCTTCCTTCTTGCTTCACAACATTCCATTCTCTGTCTTTTATTTTTACTATCTCCACTTCACCACAGTTACCTCCCTCTTCATCTAATCCCTCTTGCATCCCTATTCCTCCTCTTTCCCTGCTTCGTCTTTCATTATTTGCTATCAAGACCTATTCTCTTCTCTCTTTTCCTGCAGATTTTACACTGTATTGTAGGAGGTTCGGTCTTGTAGAAGTTAGGAGCTGCTTTTAGTTTCAAGAAAAGAGACCGTTTTTAGGAGTGCAAACTTAAGAATTTCATCGAATTCATGCCCTCACCATTATTTCGAAACTCTTTTGAACACAGAATTTGGTAAGCTAAGTCCCTTTCTGGGCTTTCCGCCACAAAAAGTGCATAACTAGTGATTGCTGTAACGTAAGAATCGCTGAGGGATGTCAACGTTTTTTCCAGGAAGGACCTTGCACGTAATTGAGCAATGAAGGCCGATGATCTTACATCACTGTCAACCATGCTGATCACTTCTATCAAGGTGATTAAAACATGAGCAGTCAAAACGATGGAGGATTCATTCTGCACGTTCATCTGCAATAATAAAAATGAAGACACCAATAGTTACTTCCTTACAAAATAGAACTTCAGAACAAAAATCGGCCACAAAACGCAAATTAAAATACTTGGTTTTGAAGGTGCCCAATTTGTACCCTCAGTAAGTGCACTTTTAAGACAGTGTAACTGACAACAACTGGTACTTCAATTTTTTTCCAAAAAATTCTTGGAAATATTTCATCTATGATACCCTTCAATTGTAGGATATGCATTATGAAACTAATCATCACCGTCAAGAAATAGTTTTTTAATAGTTTATGTTATCCTCACATTCGCCTGGATTTCTTATTTCAAGTGAATATTTTATTGCATTGAATAACAATTTTAAAACAACCTTTGAACAGAAATGTGTCATTTTTCCTTGACTTTATTCTCTTTTTGCTGAAGCCAAACCTTCCAGTAATAAAAGAGAAAAACATAAATTTTGCATTGCTGAACAAGAGAAATATTCCCCTTGTCATTCAAGTTGAACAAAGGTGCACTACGTACGGACATGTCAAGATGCGGGTTGACTGTGATCTCTCCCCCACTAAATTCAGCGAAGCTTCCATCATTCCTCTGAAATTTTAATAACCAGCTCAGGGTTTTGTTAAATAATCTTGGTTCAATGTAAAACAGGTATTCCCAGTCAACATAGCTGCTGTGCTTGAAAGTTCGAAGTGCCCACGATGTTAACCTGAAAATGACAAACAATAACTTAAGTTAGAAGCGAGCCAATCGGTCTAACATCAACAGTCAGAGAAAAGTAAAATCAACTCTGTAACAAGAGAGAGGAGTGCAAAGTTATCAATGATGTAAAATTTCACACCCACCAAACACTTGGAGTGGACGTATTCCAGTTTGAAAAGCTCCCGTCATCGCGATAGAAATACATGACTTCCCCAAACAAGGTGCTGCATTTTGCTAAAGTCTCTTTCAGGACATCATGCTCCAATTGATTTGTCAAACGAAGGTAATGCAAAGTCCAAACATTAACAGATAGTTCGAACAAACTTGTCTCAGCCCCTTTACCCTCTCTTTCTAAGACTGATCGAAGGGTGCGGGGAATTTCCGACGAACCGGGACCAATGATCAAACCTGAGAAACAAAGAGGACACAATGGTATCATTCCACTTTATAAAAAGGAAAAAAATCCGCTAGTTGTTGACTTTCTACCTATGGATATTTCTCTTGCTCGAATTCACTCACTGAAAGTAATAAAGAGAATAATTCACCCACTGAAAGGAATAAAGAGAATAATTCACCCACTGAAAGTAATGAAGAGTATTAGATGAAAAATGTATAAAAAAGTAAACGTCTTTAAGAACTTAAAATGATTTCTCTATAGATATTTGCAAGAAACATTTCTCTGATATATTGAGGATACTAATCACAACTGGGAAGGAGACACTTAAGCGTAGTCTTACTTGAAAAAGTTAACGATGCTTTTGGACTTCCATAAATGTATCTTCGCCACTGCTCATATGGCACAACCGGGGATTCTTCCACCTCTATGTTTAGGTATTGCAACACCAAAGCTCTGCTTTTCAAGTCAAGTAGTGTAGAAGTGTGTCGTTTAACAATGCCTCCCTCTGGCTAAGTACAAAGGAAAATCAATTCTAAATGAGCATAATTATAGAATTTCACCAGAGTTTTGTTCAATTTTGTCATGTTTCCAGTTCATTTTTTTCATACTTGTTACAAGGCAGTGAACACTTTTAAAAAAATTATTTCGTCTAATTCTGTAATCAGAAGTGTTATTATCCTAACAGCATCTGTTGTTTTGTCACATATTTTAGTGCATTAGGATTTCCTAAAACGAACATGTATAACTCTAAAAAAGAGTGTGGTCACAAATAGCTAATTATAAAACTTACAAAGGAAATCATAATTTTTCTGGAAAGCCACTTGAGTTTTTCTTTGTGTCATAACACTACCATAAAAAAGATAAACAAAAATTTGCCGAATCTAAAATGATACACGCACCAAGACCAATATTTTGTGGGAGAGCCTCTTGAAACCAGCCTGTGTAGAAGCAGTCATTTCAATTTCGACCTCCCCTTGTTCCACAGATGGAGCTATAGGAACATCGACATGCTCCTGAGTTTGAGGCAGCAGCTTAGAGAAAAAAAATTAGGAAATTAGTTAAGAAATAAATAAATAACTAAACAGGATAATGAATGACTAAATAAATGACTTAATTATGTTAATAAATAATTTTTAAGAACTTACATAAATCAGGATTTGATGTTGTCCCGCAGTGAGTCGTGCTCCATAGCTGGACACAATTCCGTTTTGCTCAACGTGTACGAATTTGTAATCGGCAGACTCCAGCACAGTAATTGTCACAAACATTTCAAAATCTTCAGTGTTGCGAAGGTAAACTTGTAATCCAACCTGCTCCCCTCTTCTGCACAGTTTCGGTCCGTTGACTGATGCTATTAATGGTTTTTTGCTGGAGAACTATAAATACAAATGACCACGACAGTTAAGAGGAAATTACTTTAATGTTGAATTAAGTTATCAGTAACTTATGAATGAACCACAGCATGAACTTTAAACTGCAGTTTCCACACACTGACACTTCAACTCATACCAACTTTATGGGAAGATGCATGCAGCTCATAGAATCGACTGTTATCATGGAGGTAGCTTTCTAAAATTGAAACTAGACATGCATATATTTCTGATTTAAATAAAAAGCACCAGCCATCTTCAGTCCTCAAAATCTCTCTTTTAATAAGAGGTGGAAACACCGGCCAGGCTATCGACCTGATGTGAGAATCTTTGTGTAAAAACTGGATGAAAAATTTGCCGTTCTCGTTCTCGAAAAGAACAGTTACCAAGTTACACCCAAGCATTTGCTGAAAGCTAATATAGCTGACAAAAAGTGTATCCAGTACATGTACTATTTGTCAGCCTAGTAAGCTCTAGTTAATTGGACAAGAATGATTAAGTGATCTGGGTGGTTTTACTTAAAAGGCCTTGTAATTTGAATTTACCTGCGTAGGTGCAAAAATGCTAAATCCAAAACGGTTGCTCATGCTGAAACCAACGAAGTACCAGTCATCGACTGTTTTAGGTGACGTCAATGACTCAAACTCAACCCCCTCATGATCATTTTTCTTTATTTCTCTCCGACTCCAATCACCATCGACCTCATCATACAAGAACTGTGAACAGTAAATTCAAATATTAGAAATATCTCAAAACAAAAAGTTAAGAAATTAATGCACCTTGAATACCTATTACGAGTTATTTTTTTAATGAGACCCTCATGGAGATGAGAGAAAGGCAATTACTGCTCAGCTCAGTAGCTGTAGTTCCTCTCAGTATCTCATTGAGTGTATAAAGCCAAATGGAAAGATTAATAGGAACCCTCAACTGTTGCAACTGAGGAGAACTTAAACGAAGTGGTTCGTAAGGCCAGAGGTCCGAATGTTGGAATTTAGCGTTTTTCAACTGGGCAAGACAAAACTGAAGAGAAATGCAGTTATGTTATGCGACTGGTCTGCTTTATCAGTTGTCCTCGTTATGGTACCTACTATATGAGAAATCAAGGAAAAACTGAAAGCCTGATCTATTTAGATGTTTTTAAGGTATTTATCTATTGAAATGTAAGATTCATCTAAAAAAGATACATTGAGGCTGATCTGCTGAATTATGTTGATCAACCTCTGCACCGAAAGAAACTTTATGATACTTACAATATTGCGACTCATGCGGGAAACTTGGTACTCATAATCATTGAAATTTGAATAAAAACCTGCAAGCATTACCAAATATTAGCTGTTTTTCTATCATAGATTACGCTTAAAAGAAACAAATAAAAGCACATCTACTGACTGTTGATATTTACAGCAAGACCTCAATTTGGCGAATGGCGATTTAACAGATCGATCTTCTTGTCCCTTCAAGGACTTCAAACATAATTTGAATAAACGGATTCCGCTAAGTAACGGATCCATTTGTCAGTCCTGTGAAATTCAATAAAATTAGGTCTTCCTGTACGTTTTATTATTTTTTCCCTGATTATCTGAGATGAATTGCGTCAGCCTCAGCCATTGATTTCTAATTCTGTTAAATAATTGTTCACAACTTGAAACAATATAAATGTAGACTGAGTTCAACAGAAAGGAATCAAGTCCTTCAAAATTGAAGTAAGAAGAAGAAATTTGGAGTTTTCAGTACTCCTCCATAAGACTCGATGTTAGAGATAAAGTTCAATGCCTATTTTCACATTCAGAGTATATTTTCTTGATTTTGAAATTTTGTCAAGAGAAAGTGAGTGGCTGGTTAAGCGCAACACCACTAAGTACTAACTCCTTCTTTTCCTAAATGGGACTACGTTACTTTCCGCTTAATTTAGTCCAAAGACAATTAATTCCAGCATTCAAAACAATATTATTTTTCAAGGTTTAAAATGAGGATTTTTCTCTTTCTTTTCTTCTAAGCTGATTAGCACAGCAGTTTTATGACAAATCGATGGTGTAAGTCGGCAATCACATATTTCAGTTTGCGACGTCGCACACTTCCTGTCATACTTTATTTTTTAAACAGAAAACTACTCAATGGCAATTTTTTAAAACTGCCATGATTTTTCTTCTCTGTGCGAAGAAAATTCTACAAAAACTTCAGAAATGATGTCAATTTGTTCTCCTTTAAAAAAATAATATAGAGGCAGAGATTTTCAGACACCGCAAACGAGATACGTGATTGCAGACTTACGCCGTTGAAATAGGTTATTACAGTGCGACAACAGTAAATGATTTCTGCTTCAGATATTTGTGTGGCTTTTTGAACTATGAGAACAGGCCTGAAGTTCAGAGAGAAAGAAACACCAAAGCTGAAATTTAATTAAAACAGAGGTCTTTAATAGGACTTCCTACGTATAGGGCACTTCCAAAGAGATTTTAAATCATGACAGTTTCAGGGAGGGTCTTCAAATTTTGATTTAGGGTTTTCACGATTATTTCTCTTTCTCCCTTTTACAGCCAAAAAAAAAAAATAAGTCTCTTACTGACTTCATTACCCACACTCTGACTCTTTTAGTATTGAAGGTACCTATCTATAAATTATTATGGTAAATATGTTAGAGAACTAACAAGAAACCAAAATCACTCACAATTAGTTTCATCTGAGCCATCTGGGCAATCATCCGTTTGGTCGCATCTTTGACCCACAGAGTAACATCCAGATAGGGAACATGGTAACGCACATTCGAGCAAATTACAAGCTGAACCGCATTCATCTAAAAAAGTAAAAGATGAAATATTTTGTCAACCAGTGTGCTTCATTCATGTTGTCAGGCATTTAATTTCAACTGATTGGTCATCTCTGATCTCAATGGATATTCTTAACTGTTCAGATGTGTTTTCATTTTGAAGAGAAATTAACCGACTTTTTCTGTGAGAAGCAGCAAATTTTTGAGCAAGTGTAGTTTTAAAGTAAGCAAAAATATATCGACAAAGGGAAACTTTCAAGTAACATCAATTATCCAAATAAATCATGTCTACATTAACCAACAGCTGACATCTACATGAAAGAATTGCTAAGCATCTCTACTTTTCATAGTACTGAGGTGTGAAGGTAACCTACCCAAACGGGATCCTCCGTTAAAAATAGCATCTGTAATTACAACAATGCCAGATAAATCAAAAACGTTCTTTGCATTGTCACTTGTAAGCTTGCTGGTAAAGTAAACACTTTTTAAACCTTCCTCTGTTCGCCAACTTATCTTGTTCAACAATCTGAAACAAACTAAGTCAATCATAACACAAATCGTGAATCATATGAAGTGTCGAAAAAACTCGAGATGAATCACCGCAAGATAATATTTCAGATATGATATTATAACTACACACATTTGGTGACAGAAACATTTATGAAAGATGTGCTTTTAACGAACTCAAGTGAGTGAAGTCTAATGTCATGAGAGCAAATATGCATTGAGTGGTACATATCTCATATTGATAGTGAAACTACAAAAAAGCGTATCTTAGTTTGCAACGATGCTTACTTCTTATTGTAATTTGTTTTTTAAATAGAAAAATACTCCACATCATTTTTTTAAAAATTCTTATTGTTTTTTTACATTTGGGCGAAAAATATTCTGCAAAAATTTCTAGCAATAATGTTTGTTGTTTTTCTTTGATAAAATAAAATGGGAGCGGAGATTTTTAAACGTCGCTAACAACATACATATTTTTGCAGTTTCAACGTTGATACACTACCATCTCAATTCAAAATTTTAATTTGTTTTTGCTCTGTTTAGAGTGTCCTTTAGAAGTTTCAAGCAAAGCTGTTGATTTGCTTACTTTGGAGAAGAAAAAAAGGGAAAAAGTTTCGTTTTTTTCCTTTGGCAAAGTGACAATATGATTCGTAACTTGTCCATCTATGTTCTCATTTTCTTCTACGGAAAATAAATATTCAACAAAAAGTAGCTTTTTATCAATTATTTGCACCCTGTTTCCGATAAATGTACTCTTTTCATCTGCTTGCATAGGTTCCATAATAACAATGTCTATAATCAGATAAAAAGAGTAAACTTATCTGAAACAGGATCCGACAAAGTAATAGATGCAAGATCATAGCCATTTCTCACATCAACATTATTGGGCCCATTCAAAATATGTGTCCCAAAACGGCATGGTTAAGTAACTGATTTTTTTAGAAGTCCCTCCTCTCATGTGGGAAAAAAAATATCCTTAAAAATTGAATTTCTTACCTGGAGGAATTATCAAACGTTAAAAAACTGTCAGAGACCCTTGACTTTGTGATTTCGTTTCCAGCATGCATATGATAAGCCATTGATCGTTGTGCTTGAAAGGCAATGTATGCACCTTCATCTCCGCTTATTCGAATTTCAACTCTTTCTCCTCTAACATCTTTACCTAGATTAACCTCCAGTGACATCTAAGAAAAACGAGAAAATAAACAAAAATATTATTTCTCATAAAAGAATGACCTCAAAAATCTATTCTATTAAAAATTCCTCTATACATCACTCCTTTCTTACACTCCAAGAAACTGAGAAGATTTCGGAGTTTCAACAAGTTGTTAAGAGATGACATTTTAAATCACAAACCATGGCATAATGAGGCAATTAATTCAAAAGGAGTTTTAACTTAAGAAGGTCACACTAACAAGCAGATATGCATTGCAACTAAAATAATAAAAAAAAATTATGTTGGATCGAATACAAGGTGTCCAAAGAGAAGGGTTTGGTGAGATCCTTGGGTGATACTTAAAGCCAAACTTTGCTTATTGATCGAGTCCATATCTCTTTTAAAATCTTACTGATTCTACTGAGAGTTCAAAATGAATGACCATTCTTGTTATCAGAGCAGCTCAAAAAAAAATCAAAAAATTTTCCTCCATTCATAATGAGGTATCCCACCACACTGTGGATAAAATATTTCATTAAGAATGAAAAAGATTAATTGAATTTTGAAAGTTGACATAAACGGCTCAAAAAAGTAACATATGCAACCTGCCTCATATCTATCAAATCCATCCACTGGCATCATTAAACCATCGGCTACGATGTACCCATTTTGTGTCTTTGTAAAGACCACAAGCTGGAAAACTGGAGCCATATCAGGTGACAGTGGTATTGCTATCGTTGTAACTGTGGGGTGGATATCATTGGCTTCATGCTCTGCTACTCGGAGTATGCTTCCTTTGGACACAATCTAAAGAAATAAAGCAAATAAATTAATTAGAAGAAAGTACATATATTTACAACGTATGGTATGTATAAATTTTTAATAACTATGGAGATACGCCTTCTGACCATTTCGCGGTCCAAACTCTGGAGCACTTTGTAGCTCAGGCGTTATGCATTACTCTTATGATATTATACTACAGAGTATGATATGTAATCCAAAAATTGGAGCAAATGGTTAATTTTGAGCATCTTAAAATCGTCTTTGAAACAAGAAGTCAGAGTGTGTTTTGTTCAGCCTGTGGTAGTCTCTTGTCCTAATGTAAGAGTATAAAGCATAAAAATGACTCACTCACTAAACTCTTAAAGTTGCTCATCCTGAAATTGCTCTTGACATGAAATATAGCAAAATCTCCAACAACTGCATTTTCTGTCGTTGTCCACACATAAATTAGAGGATCTGATGCAGACTGTTGTTTCTTTGCCTTGATTTTTGCTTCAACTTGTTCTTTGGATTCATCTGTGTATTTTGCAATTATCTCCAAATGATTTGCATTGAGTGGAATGATGAATTCAAAGTCCATGGTTCCCTCCTCCAAGTATTTAGTTTTGATCATTTCCAAGAGTGTAAAATTTTCATAGGAGTCAAATGAATCCGAACCCGGCTGGAACTGATGTTCATAGATTGTGGATCCGTCTGCTGAAGCTTGAATTATCAAATTCGATGACTCCAATATGTCTGAAGGCACTTGCTCATGATTCTCGTAGAACAATATTACCTTGAGGGAACAAACAAAGTAGAGACGGGTGGTTATAACATTGTCAATTGAATCTACATACACATTTGTTCTCGCCTAGTTCCTCCTCATAGGTTTAGTACTTTTTCTCTTAGTCCTCTGTAATAGAAATAATTTAATATGCCCGACAAAGGGTCAAATTGTTCATAGAAAAGGCTTTCATTAAATTTCAGACAGAATTGTCAGATGCTATTCGATTTGAAATGGAAGTATCTTTCTTTCTGTTTGACGAAAATACTATACCCGTTAATGCCATTACCAATGTTAATTATTGTATTGAAAATTATAAACTAACAGTTTAAAATGAAATGATAAAAAATTTACCTGCTGATAATTCAAAAAATACATACATACATACATGGCCTCTGTATAACATGCCAGGAGTGAAGTAAGGTAAAGTCGATGAGAGGATGTTCAGTTTAATTTGGCTTGCTGTGAGTCGAGTTTGGCAGAACCCGGAGTTAGTTTTCAGCTTCAGCAGCTCTGTCATTTTTACTTTTAGTTCTATCAGTACATTTTTTAAGTCGCCAAAAACCTCAGTAATTATTTTCATTGGCAAAGCAACGTCTTGTTTTTTCCCTTTCTGAAAATTAAACCAAAACATATCAGATTAGATCCTCTTCATTGATGGTTCAAGTAGAAAAGAAAGGTGAACTTTTGTTGGCAGGTTCAATGGTCTAGAAACGGTCCACATGAGATGAAAAAACTTCACTAAGTCTTTAAAGCCTCTCTGGTTGATCAGCATGTCGTTCAGGCACACCGATAAGAATAACAAAATTTCAGCCTTGCATCGCAACATCTCATACTCACCCTCATTATTTTTCTTCATTTAAAAGAGGATTATCAATGTATGATTGCTTAAAATTTACAACTGTCTTTTGCATTTGCTATACTTATTATAAAGGAAATTCTTGTTAATTCACCTCCATATTCTCAGAAAAAACATTAGATAAGATCAGAAATTTTGAATCGTAACAGTGTTAATGAAGCTGACTTTACTAATTTGAACCACAGATGCAGGCTTTAAAACTTTCCAATGTCTCAAAAAAATCACTTAAAACAAGTGCACAATTTATTTTGAAAAAGCTTCAATGTACGTAAAAAAGCAACAAATAAAAGTGGATTTTTTTAAAGTTTGTAAGAGTCGTTCAAATAATTAGTTTGCTTGATTGGCAACTTTAAAAGAAGGAAAGAAAGAATTTGTACTGTGGTAACAATAAATTATTCTTGACTTTTTGATATCATATTGATCCATGTGGTTTTTTACAACTCATTAATAGCTACTTATTTTAATATAATTCTTTAAAGTCCGTTTATCTGCTCTAGAAATGGTAAATTAGTTAAATTATACAATCATAACTTTTTCCCTTTTTTTCGCATTTTCTGAGCTCTATGTTAAAAACATTCATCAGATTGGTGAAATCACATCTTTTCACTAATCCTCCTATTTATTCTTCCACCTAATTATAATTCTACCATACTTGTACTATAAAATATGTATAATAAAGTAAGGAATTCTTTAAAATACCCAAGACTACTTACAAAAAATGTATACTCAGAAAAGAGGAGGGCTGGTGCTGTATCATTTTCAAGTGTAAGCCCATACCATTCAATTGTAGCATTGGCATGGATAAGTTCTTGAGATGAGTACATTCCATAAACAGTACCCTTTATTTCCTCTTCTGAATCTTTGACAAAAGGCGGCAATTCTACAAGGACCTGAAATTTAAAAAAAAACTGAAATTAAGAATATGTTCTCAGAACGAAATTGCAATTTATTCAAAATCACCATATCTGACTTATTTTTAACGGTTAGACATAAATCTTAGAATAAAGATTATGTATAGAAAAAATTATGAACTGCAGGAGAAATTACCTCAAACAAAGGCTGATAGTAAAGTTCAACTTTGATCCTTTGCTCATCTATTTGATCGTGTATTTTGGTTCGTATTTTCCAATAACCTGATTTGACTAGGGTAGGCAGTGTGAAGCTTAAACTTGCAACTCCTGTTGAAAAACATAAAAAATTAGTCGGTGGTTTCTCTGTTACATGACGGCTAAGATAATTCATTTGATGACTAATCTGTTCTTCCATCAACTTAAATTGAATAAGGAAAGAAGGAGTAGGAAAAAGAAGGAGAGGGAAAATGTTATCTACTTAAGATGTTCTATCATAGATCGCAGAATGTATGGATATTATTGTCCTCTTTCTAAAAACAAAAAATCAAAATCTACAATTTTATCGTAACTAAACTCCCTTACTTGAAGAGAAAAGAAATTAATAATATTATTGTACTACATCAATCAACTAATTGTGGACATGCTAAGTGACAGTATTGCAGAGCATTAGTATTAGTAAGTATAGCTGCTAGAGGAGCAAAAGCCACTTTTTTAGGATATTGATTTTTGGTGACTAAAAAAGTAAGTTCGGCGGGGGAGGTGATTTACGTAAGTAAGATCAGAAAGTAAAATCATTTCAACTCACCATTGTTTGTGTACAGTGACACCCATCTTTTAATAATAGTTTCCTCAGAATCCTGTTAAAAAAATGAAAATAAACATTATCGGATACCTGGTTGCTCCTGAAATAAAATGATATCGACGGTGAAACTACCAAACCACGTATCTCGTTTGCGGTGTTTGAAAATCTCTGCTCACATTTTATTTTTTTGGAGAAGACCAGATCAATATCATTCCTTGAAATTTTCACAGAGTTTTCTCTACAAAAAGAGGAAAAATCATGGAAGTTTTCAAGAACTGACGTTGAGTGGTTTTTCATTTAAGAAGTGAAGTATGACAGGAAGTCTGCAACGTCGCAAACCGAGATATGTGGTCTGGTACTTTCACCATCGATATGCAAGTAAGCTAGTTGATGATGCAAGTGCTGTTAAGCTTTCATATTTTTTTATGTTACCTATATAATAAGTGTGTATTATATCTGATGACTATGTAACATGGACATGTCTCTGATAGTTTTCAGCTAGGTATAGTTTTATTCCAATCAAATGTCTAAAAGAGACATAGTTTGGAGCAAAAAAAACACAGTTTGTTCAGAAAACCATTGTTGAGCTTGTGATGAAACCTAAAGAACGTACTGTCCAATTGGTGATTTTTTGGTCAAGCACTGAAAAACTTCCTTTTTTGGACATAATCATTAGACTGTGTGCCAGTCGGGTTAAAAGTGTGCCCCTCTGCCTTATAATGAAAATCAAATAGGTATCAAGTACCTAAATATACTTGAGTATAATTCTGAATTTAAAACTAAAGACTAGCTGAAATGAAAATATTGGGCTTCAGGAATGACGTTGAGTACTAAATTAATGTTAGGCACACAATTAGGTGGAAAATTGTAATAGGTATATTAGATATTACACCGTCAACTCACCAAAACAAAAATGTCGACAGCACCATCATAAGGTAATAAATCTGATTGTAGTATTAGTAGTCGAAAGTAAACTGAAAAAAGAGATTTTTAAAAAAATATATTAGTTCATAAGGGTAAAAGTATTTCAGTGATCAAGTATGCAATAGGAGGCCAACCGCATGCCATGCTGTAATTTATAAAAAAAAAATTTACTCCGTAACATTTGACAAATTTTACTCAGTCCCTCGTGAGATGCTTTCTTCCTATTAGGACAGGAATTCAACATATCCAATGTTCAGGATTGCTAGTGACAAAGGCAAGTAAGTTCAGCGATGTAATCTTCCGCATCGTATTCCAACCTCAAAAGTTTATTACTTACTTGATATGAATACAATAGATTTATTTGACAATTAATTGCCTATGCTCGTACGTAAATTGGATGTAAATATTACAGCCAGCTGTGGCATGATTAAGATGGGAAATAATTAAACTACCTACATTTGATCAATGACCATCATCTTTGGCTGATCTGAACTTCACATCAGAAAGTAGGTAACCATTTAGCATGTTGACAAATTCTGCTCTTCAGATACCTATTTGCTAAAATTTAAATGAAGGTATTTCAATATTGGCACTCTTGCTGAATACGATACTCCTTATTTATCACATTATTTTACATTGATGAAGAAATAACGAATCACAGAATTCAGAAACTAAAATCACCGTTTGCTTTGCTTTCGCTTTGTTTACAAAAACCATGTGCTTGGTAGCGTCACGTGCGACGCATGCGCCATGCGTGCTATGTAATTCATGAATGAACCTTCGTAACAGAACGGACCAATGAGAGACCAAGAATTCGTCATCGTACTCATCGTAGTACGCGTAGTACTCCAATCGTACTACTCGTAGTATGTAGTGAGGTAGTGAGTGTTGCCAGATCGAATGCACGAATGACGGCAAAAAGGCCCCTGGCACACGGCGTGGATTTGAACCATTTTCCGGTTTGTTGTTCTACTGCTTTAGTTAGATACACCCTTTTAAAACATTTCTAGGCCTATAATGAATTTCTTTCTGCGCAGCAGCGTTGCCAAGTGTAAAACTAAAATTCCATATCTGTCGAACGAAAAAAGATTTTGAACTGCGATTTGCGTGAAACTTCTTCTAAAAATACGTTTGATAGGGAAACGTCACAAAATTTGAGTTTTTATAGGGAAACGTCACAAAATTTGAGTTTATATTAATTTAAATTCGCATTGTTGCCATGTTTCATATTTTTTCGTGTTCGATTTTTTTTTTTTTTTTTTTTTTTTTTTTCTTCCTCAGTACAGTACATTGTGAAATGCCCCTTGCAGAATCAAACAAAAAATGTCCGTTGTATAAGTTGTATTTTTCAATGCGTTTTGATATTTTATACTTTCTAGGAGTGAGACGCGAGAGTTAAGAGCACTTTAAGATGACGCTCCGCACACGCCGACAGATATCCGGGCGCCGCTTATGCTACTAAGGCAGTCTCACAATTGCAGAATTTGATGCCTTTGGTTAAGTTTTCTCAAGTATGTACCTAGGTATAGTTGAAACTTCAAATGTTGGTTACGGATGGCTCTGGAATGGTCGGAGGGGGGTGGAGGTAATACGACGCGTCATTTCGAATTCCGCGCGTCTCTACAGCCGAGACTTCCCGCTCGCTGCGCGTTAAGACTGCGCGATGGATATATGGAGGGAAAGAATGAAAATAATAAATGATTACGTAATGGAACAGTAGCAAGCATAAATATCCATGTGATTTTGTTAACTCATTATTAGCTGGAAAGTGATAAATGAATGGAAGTTCCGATCCCCGCTGAGTCTAACAACACCGAAATGAAAAGTTAAAGAGAGTCTCGAAGGATAGGATAGTTAGAATTCATTCGTTAGATGGCAAAACAGGGAAATAGATACTCATCTCCATAAGGGAATTTTCGCCTTCATTGAGGTGTGTTTATATATATTAAAAAAAAAAAAAAAAAAAAAAAAAAAAAAAAAAAAAAAAAAAAAAAAATGATTGGTCTCATAAAATATAGACGACAGAAAATTTCACCTGACGATGTAGGTTAGCGACTCCGGAGAGGATCAAAATTGCGAATTCTCTGATAGGAATAATTCCTGCTACAACAATCAACATCAATGAAATGAGCTCTCTACTCCATTTTATATTTAAGTTGGGCCATTGACGGAGGTGGAAGTTAAAGAGAGGAAAGGGGCATGAGTGGGGCACCGAATTTTCAACCTAGTTGAATCTATAATCCATTTTATCGTTGCCGTCGAAGCTATAATTGCGAATGAATTTGCCGGTATTACGGTTTTTTAGTCAGATAAATATATACCTGAGGGATAATGTACCGAAATGATATCCTTACCAGTTTGCCCTGAGCAATAGATAGGCCGACTTGTTTGAATGGAGACTGAGAGGAACTTTGGTGAGAATACCAAGATTGAGGACTCTGTAAAGATGAGTCTATTACGTTCGTCAGATCCGCGAACATTAAGGGAGTAATTTCCCCGGGAGGCAGCGATTGGGATCTATAAAAAAAAGAAACATGATAGAAATACAGTCCAATGGCACATAAGCAAGTTGGTGCGCAATTTTTCACCCATAGTTTATCCTTTTTCTTGGATTGACAGAAACTATTCGATCGTGATATATAAACGCGCAAAGCGCCTTCAAATGGGAAGGTTAGGCCAATATGCTACCACCATGCACGAATAGTTGTTGCATCACTCTGAGGAAGGCGCTCTACTCTTTTGAAAGCACAGTTTAATTTAAAGCATTGAGACGATGATAGTTGGATTTGAAGGATTATGAGTATTTACACGTCGATGATAGAATTACGAGACCACCATCTCGGTTTGCAATTTTTAGATTTCCTGTCACGGTTCTTTCTTGGAATAATGGCTGGCCACCATAATTGCGCGCAATTTTGTGTGATTTCTTTTTACTCTTTCAAAAATATTCTCTGAACATTCCGTAAAAAAAATGTATGGAGGTACCGTCTGGAAAAATTGTTGTAGGAGCGGGATTGTCGAGACTCCGCGATCGCGTTACATATTCTCGCTGTTTCACGGACGACATGCATTTTAATCACGGTGTTAAAAAATTTCAGCTCCGTGTTTATGTTCCCGTGAAGGTGCGAAAAGTTGCGATGTTTAAACGTTTCAGTTGTCCTTTTATTTTTTCAACAATCAATCGATGAACGTTATTGTTCGATATTTTCCTTGCGTGTCATATACAAAATGATGAAAACTCAATTAAAATTCCAAGAGAAAATGTTCATCGTTTCTTTAAAATAATGAGATATATGACAAGAAATTAATGACGCCGCAAATTATCTTGCACGATGTTCACTCATTTGATATTAGATATGATCTCCAGGAAATGTAGGTAAGGCTCCATACCTCAGGTAGTATTTCGCAACCCAGTCATTGACTAATAGTGGCTATTTTTGTATTAAACTTGAAATTTTTTCACCATGGAATTTTAAAATGTTAACAGCGCATTTAGTCAATAAATTCCGATTTGAAACGAGCAAATGATTAGAAGTAAGATTAGTGGTTTTCAGTGCAACTTATTTCAAGTATATTGAAATTTTGTTATTTCAACGAAGGGAGCTCCTTCAATTAGTAGATAGGCAACATACACGGCACTCCGGTTCAGTGCACCGCCGCGCGCGCCGCGCCGCGCCATAGTATTTGACAGCGATCATTAGCTTAGACTTTCTCTAAAAAACTCAAATAGTTGGACCTACCTGCAAGGGAATCGTAAGAGGTGCGAGTGGCAGAGCTGTATCCACCGCGAAAACCAGCTCCCGATTATCGACGATAACGGCTGCCCTCACTGTGATTGCATCCACACGATTGTCAAAGACGAACGCCGCCACATTGTAAATCATCGTTGGGTACACCTGCCTCGGCGCCGTAATCAGGTACGTCCTGGAACAAATAGAATAGTTCCTAAGTACTCATGTACCTGTACTTATTGACATTGCGGATAAGTGAGTAAGTAAGCAAGAGAGAAGCACATTCATGCTGCAGTTTAAAAATATCGTGCTGATTTGTTTTTATTTTTTTTCTTCTTTACCTTTATGCCTTCTCCATCTAAGCATTTTTCCCCTCGCCTTTAGCATTCAGTTAAAATGATTTTCCTATGCTTAACGAGGAATTGGCATTTTCTTTTCGTCACCAGTTTGCGTTGCCGTGGGGGAAAAAGAAATCCAGCGAGCCCGAATTTTATTTTTATTTTTACGTCACAATTGACCCTTGCCGCTCCCTATCTAGAGCACTCAATTTTCGGAGAGCAAATTTACTGAGAGGGCTTCATAAAATTAATCTATACGGGTTCGTGCATAACTGAAGACTACCTGATCTACGTACAATAGGCACGACCTTTTAAAACACTCGTTAAAATCTCTTAAAAAGTATCTGAAGTGTAAAGATCGTAATGCACGCAAAGAGCATTTAAAGAAATTTTAAAGCGAGGAAGTTTTAAGGATCGACCTACATTTCTGCCTCGAATCTCTTCGCTTGCAAACTCGACACGAAAGTAGTTAAAAATTGTATGTATCCCCTAGAAAATCAAATTTCCTAGAGGTATGCCCGTATTTTTTTTTTTTTTTTTTTTTAAAGAGAAAATATCGCTCTTTTAAGTGGTCGGTTTGATGCCACTTTAAATGTTTCATCACAATGTCACATGTATCGAGCGACGTGCCTGAAACCATCCCAGGAAACTTCATCGGAAATGCGGTTTAAGTGTCTTTAGCACATCAGATAATAAATATCCCGCACTTCTCCCGCTTTATTATAGTAGCCTGTGTCAACGTGCGTCGTGTGTATACCTACGCCGAGAAAAGTCGCGCTGATGAAAATGCGAGGACGTAATTTTTTCGGTGCAAGATGCACTCTCACGTGCACGTGTTGGTGACATTTCAATAGATTCATGTATTCAACTGTTGCACCGCTTCAACAGGCGTTAAATATTTACCTTGCGTTTGTGGTACCAACATCTAACCATCTGTCCCCCCAAAACTAGTGATGCTCTAATAATGCGTTTTTACCAGCACCTTCACGATTGACATCTGTTTGAATCCTGAAAAAGTAATGGTCCAGTGCATTGGGTTTCCTAGTCCACCCGCTCTTTATTCCTTAAAAAAGCTTCCTCTTTAAGCTGTTGAGTAAACAAAGCCTCGTACTCGTATGAGACTTGTAGAAAATTTGAAGCTAAAAGACCTGATGAAAATATTTTTCGGGGCCCATCCCCGTATGTGCTTGGAGGATGAAATGCCTCACCTTATTTTCATCCATCGTGTCAAACATCAAAGACAAATTAGATTTAGACTGCACGTAATGAAATTTTGTTTCGGCCCATATTATTGGAGAAGAAGAGAAAAAATATCTACAGGTAGCGTAAATTGAAGCTTGCTTTCAAGATCTGTCATGAAATGATGAAAACAAGGGCTTCCAAGGAAAAATACATAAATTGTTCGACTAAACTTTTAGAATGACCTGTCTCTTTGTCCCACGAAGTTTTTTACCGTAACATCGCTACTTCCGTATCTTAAGAGGGGTTTTCACGAAAAGCAAAATCAAACGAACGAGTTATAACCTAATATCAATTTATTCGCATGGAAATAAACTCCCACTCATCCCAAATCTTGATCAACGAGGGTAACAGCATTAATGTCGACAAGAAAAGTCACGCCGAAAGTATTTGTAAAAAATTAAAAATACATTATAATGAAACCGATCAAACCGTATTGATTTTAACAATATCAATCATCCACGTCTTCTTATCAGAAGATAATTGACTTCGAAAACACATTTACTCCCGCGACTCGCATGAGCGCAACTTCATCTTCGTCGCGTTAAATCAAAATGCTAGAACATTCCCGCCTGTTGACTGAGCGTGCGAATTGACCAATCAGCGGTCATCTTTCGCACTACCTCAACATTTGGCGGGAAGCGTGCTCTATCACCTGACCAATCAGCGATCGTCCTGTTCGCGCCGCCTCAACTTTTGGCGGGAAGTGTCCCGACGTTTAAGTTTCGCATAATCACGACTCTACATCACTGTCAGCTATAATAAGCACCTGAGTAGTAGAGGACCTGAGGACAGCGATGAAAGAGTGAAGGCGTTACGGACGGATGCCTCTGAGACACCTCGTATGAAATTGTACTCGCGTGTCAATATTACCTGAGCTGTGAACCGGGACATTCACATCACACACGTGGATACGGAGGGAAGGTTAACAATGAACAGGAGCATGTACTTTATATTCGGAGACGTTCCAGTTCATAAATTCCATAGAGTAAACATTGAAACGGGGAAGAAGAGTACCTTTTTATAGATTTTTGACACTTGTCCCTCCCCCACCTTGTAAATGTCACGTAATTTACCGACGGTGGGGCTATGCATCATCCCTTCTACGATCCTCTGTTTCAGAAATAAGCCACATTGTGACTTACGGAAACGGCGCAATTGATCATTAAAACATGAAAAATACATTGATTTATTATAAGCCAGCCGTGATAATTTGATTAATAACTATCCTACCTCAGAAGGAATACATCTTTTTGCCAGATTTAAGTGGGCATACTATGGTTTGAACATGAAGGACCCAGGACACAAAATGTTCGTAAAACATCTGAAGCATACGCTTATTGAAAAACCACTCTCAATGAAAACATTTCAAATGTATTTCGTTCAGCACATGCCTTACGCGCGATACTCAAAAATAGGAAGCTTGAACTAAAAAAAAATCCAGTAGTTCCTTCAGGCGATTGCCGCAAATATTATCATTGAACCTACTTGTTTTGAAAGAAAGAAATGAAGAAAAACAAATCACAAAATTAATTGACTAAAATGTTTTTTTCCTCCCTCAAACATTAGTAATTTTGAATAAGAGCATTTAAGTATGTAAAATTTATTACTGTAAGAGTTCACACGAGTGGGGTGTACTTACCTATTCGCACAACACCTCTTTCGGGCCTCTTCGAAGAGATTTGGCAGCCAAATGTGTCTGATACATGTCGGTACATTGTATACATATTTAACTTCCCACTTGCTTTCGTAAGTAGTACATCCTTTTTCATTTCGTACCGCACTGCCAATTCTTAAGAATCGAGACTCGAGTTCTGTTAAGCGGATACAGTCCTCGCGTGATTACAAATACAATGTAAACCAATAAGTAACAGTTAAAACGGAAGAGGGGAAAATAACGGCAGTAGAATTACCATCGGTTCATTTTTACGTACGCTACTTAGTTCGTTCGTTACTTCACGGTCTGCAGTTGCCTTTTTCTATGTTCGGGTGAAAATTGCCCCCCTTTATTTAAGTCGCATTTGAAAGAGTCTTTGGATGGCGCCAAGAGTAAGATGTAATTTCATTCATAAAACTGCCAATTTTCAGACAGCCAGGAAGTACAATAACCTATCCTAAGTATACAGATTAGTTTTGTTTCTCGTGGCATAACTTACTTTTTCCGACCAACCAGGGCTATATATCCTCTAAAAAAGTTGTGCTAAAAGTTTTCCTACATGTTTCTTTTCACTTGTTTTTTGTAGTCTCTAATACTACAATTTAGGTGAAGAAAATTTTCATTTTGATGATTTTTGCCCCTTTTTCTCTAATTACACCAACAGAATTGAGTAAACCTAGCAGCCCCTCTTTTTTTAAACTACTCGAATTTCATGATTGCTATATTGCTGTACTTTACAAGTACCATTTTTGAGCAGAAAAGTCGTGATATTTTGAAATTAAGTTGCGATTTTATACGATTTTTCAGCGATAAAATCGCCAAGATCATCGACATCTGAGCGATTATCCTTAATCCTTTCGCAATGTTATCTTTTCAAAATCGCGTCCGATGAACTTGAAATTTTATTGCAATCTATCACGATTTTTTGTTCGATGATATTTCGATGAGTTGCTGTCGATAAAATCACGATTTTATTGCAAAATTTATGCAATGAAATCGCGTATCACCTCAATTTTGTATCCGAGAATATAGCAATAAAAATTACGTCGACAAAACCACGATATATTCTGATCTAATCGCAACTCATCGCGATCACCGCTACTTAACTTGGATTGAATGAAAAGGGCGGAATACAAGATGTGGCAACAGGACACGAGTTAAAAGAAGGAGCTTCCACGGACTGGCACGGAGACGGTAAAAAAGCTAAAATGTTGGTGCACGAGGAAATGTTGGTTTCTGTTCGAGTCGCACGCAGGCGAAATTATTTCACGCACACCGCCCGGGTCCGAGTACACCACCGCACCCGAAAAGGGCAGTCGGGCTCGACCACACTGTGACTGCTTGCGCTAAAGAAAAACGCCATATGAGCATTCCAATGTTGCCAAGTTACCTTGGGAAAATATCATTTTTTCAGAAAAAGTATGAATAGACATTTTAAATCAACCCCAGTCGAAGGAAACCCTAGTAGCAATGGCTCTTAAAAAAAGATCTACAAAAAGTTGTCCCAAAAATGTAAAAAACATGTAAATTTTAAGGGTTGGTAAATTTTAAGTAAAAAAACTCTTAAAATCTTCGTTTTAGGAAACCCTTGTGGGGAATTTTTTTGAGTAAAATAATAGTGTCATTTTAATTAAAAGAAAACGTAAAATTTACGTAAAAATCAATGAACTATATCCTCAATTTTTATGGGCTGCAACTGTTCCTTTTATACTTTTCTGTTCACCACTTTTTTCCCTCGTTTTTGCCCGTAGGAAGTTAAAAAAAAATTACGTAAGTTTCACTTAAAGTTTACTTAATATTTACGTAAAAAATTTACTTAAAATTTACGTAAAAAATTTACCTAAAATTTGTCTTCAAATTTATGTAAAAAAGGTCCCAAAAAGGATTTCCTAATACGAATATTTCAAGAGTTTTTATACGTAATTTTCAGTGGTTTCAAAGTAAATTTTAAGAGATCTC